ACATTTTTACGCTCTCCCCAACAGGGAGGAAAATAAAGAAACATAAACGTAAACATATAAGCCCATACGAGAGATATCATGCTCGTATAAACATTTTAAATGTTTATCTGAAGATTAATTTACTGAAAGCTTACTCTAAAAAACATGCGATAATTTGTTTATATTTGAATTCCAATATGAATTATACTGCAAAGCTCAACCACCTGTTACAAAGCCAAAAAAACACATTTCAGCTCAAAATATTCTGAAACCATGAATGTCTTATCCACCGATTGCGTATATAATCGCGGGCAACAAATCTGTAAATCCTCTCAAAGCGAAGCATAACGCTACTATTCTTAGGCAATATATAAAACTAAAGTGCTCACCTGTTGATGCTTAGCTTCTTCCGGTATTTCTTTCTCTTGGAAACCCGACTTCCAATTCTTCTCTGAAATCATATTAAATGAACAAGATATATAATACTTACATATGTTGATGGGGTAGGGCGTAGGGGGGCAAGCAAAAGACTGATGGACAGTTTTAATTTAAAAACCCTGACCGTGGTACTTTGTGACATAAAATATAAAAGTATATGTAACCATTCGAAATTGCCGGGGAAGCAAATACATAATGACATGCCCGTATCTCCTGCTTCAACGCTAGCATATGGATGTGATTCACCCGAAATAATGGAGTTGGATGACAGGACATCTTCCGCCCAGCTCAAGAGGGTGAATCAGGAACCATCACCTTGGCTGGTGTACTCACCCAAACAATATTGGATGCAGCAATTTTCCCTAGAAAACCGTTCACAAACACCGTCTTGGGAGAGTACACCCCCATCTTTGGTGGGAGCAAGCGCTCATAGAGCAATTCATAGAGTTCGAGCTGAAATCTGGGCTCGTGAATTACATAAAAAGCTCAGGCTAGCTAAAAAAAGCCTCAATGCTCCCACTAATACAACTGTAAGGACTGGCTGACTCATGGGCCCATGATGATCTAGCAAGAAGCAAAAGACTCGTCATTGTGACAACATATAATAAAGAGAAACCACGACTTCAGGTGCTACCCCATACCTGGGTTAATATGTAAGACCCCGGCAAAGAATGAGATGTGATATTAATATATGATATGAGGTGTGCAGTGCACTCATTTTGTGGGGCTCTAGACTTGACTTATATAAAATTTAATGACCTTCTGGGCTAAACTTATCACCTGATCAAAGCATCAGTTGACTCAATTCGAATTTAGAATGTTACATTTATGTTTAATTTGTAGTTTTAAGATAGTTTTTTTTGTGTGTCACTTATATTTCGATACACATTAAATGGGCCGCTTGAACCAACATTCGTATGTGGGTGTAACAAGATATTTAAATAAAAGTTGGTAGCAACTTTTAGAACCGGCCTTTAAGAAAAGCTGAAAAGGATGACTTTGGGATCTCTTTATACAAGTTAGTATAAAAACGAACACGTTGCCAGCAACTTTAGAACCGGCCTTTAAGAAAATCAGAGAAGGGTGAATCTGGTTGTTAGTAACTTTATTAACTCTCTGACAACAAATTCTACTCTGATAAGGATTTATACATTAATAACTAATGATATCAATTCACCATTCTGATTAATTAGTTTGGCATATGCTTACATACCACAATGAATACACTTATTTATGTAGTAGTGAATAATAAAATTGAAATTGTTGAAATAAAGTACTTAAAATAATGTTTCTTTGAACTAGTTATAACTTAAGTTAAATGGTACTTCGTTCATTTATGTGGAACTAGTGTTAATATATATTCCCCGAATATGGGGCGCAGCGGCTGAGTGTCGACCGGACCAACAGGTGCCTGGTAGAGTGGACAAGAGGATGCAAAGAAAACCACCAATAACAATAATCACACTCAGGGAATAGTGAAGTGTATTAAAGGAACTTATGGGGAATACCTTCAGTCCAAAACTCAAAGGAAGGCACTCTTGTCTAGGAATGAGAAAATCCTAGCGAAGGTAGACAGTAAAGTTAAACAAACAGTTAAGAAGACGTCCAGTGTAATTGACAGGTTAGGTCTCAGTGTAACACTGAACCATAGCCAGCTGCTACCGAAGACGACATGGCTGATGTTCTTGTTACGATTGGTTATGCCAAGATATTTTGTCAGAAAAGCAACAACGGATTGCAAGAACAATAACAGAGATTGTCAACATTTATAGAACAATTAATAAGTCAACAATACAGAACGTGAATAGGGTCGAACATAACTAATGTATATGTTTGTTCATTTAAATCCTTAATGTACGAATAATTAGTGGAAAATATGCTTGCGTCCAAGAAGGCAAGAAGATTAGCTGTTAAATACTAGGTTTATAGATAATTAGTGAATAAACATATATCCACTTGCTGTGAAGAGGTGACGACTTAAACGATTTATTACACAGCGTATTGTATCTAGGTAGATTAAAAACATAAGAATTATCAAAATACTCACTTGATGATATGGTTTGGTTAAACAACAATTTAAATTAACTTAAGGCTACAAGTTTCATCAGACCTTTTGTCTTGCAATAGTGTATTTTTACTAAATAAATTCAATATAGATTTTAATATGTTAAAGCTGATTTGTAATAAATTCTATAAGAAGTAAAATTAAATGTATTCCTGTACTTGTATTCTTTGTATTTTTGCTAATATATATGTATTCATATGTTATAAAAATTTTTTCTTTAAAATCAAGAAATTTTAATTAATAAAAAAACAAATATCTAGGTAAATTGCAGCCACCCAGACAGGCTCCCAGAATTCACACCGGCCAGTCCCTGCAGCACAGGAGAGGAAGTCCCGAATGATGTATGCGCTGGAAAGAGAAGAGGGGCCAGCAGTTGAAATGAAGGGAACATCTGGCGAACCGATACACCTGGCCACTAATTACATCAGAGTACAATCGTTGACACCAGAGATGTTCCAATTTCATGTCTCCCTCCAGCCCAATATAGACTCTAGAAATATAAGGTTTAAACTCCTCAATCAACACCGGGATATAATGTTGTATGTCAACTGAGAAGAGACACGAGTAAAACGACGCCAGAGATGTAGCATTTTACGAGATAGACAACAGACGACAAATATACAGTCATTGACACCGGAGATGTACCAATATCATGTGTCATTCGAGCCAAATATAGACTCGAGAAACATACGGTTTAAACATGAGCGTTTATTTTTAATATGACTGTTGCTATGTTGGGACATCAACTCACCCTTCCTCTGTCTCTCGCCTCAACCCTTTATCACCTAGGACTGTTAACTATGTTGTCTTTGGATCTTTAGACTTCCACGGCCGCATCCATGCTTTATTTTCTTGATGTTCCACCACACGTTGCCCTTTGTTGTCTCTGCACGCTGTCGTCTCTGCGCGTTGTCATCTCTGCACGCTGTCGTCTCTGCACGTTGTCGTTTCTGTACTTTGTCGTCCCTGCGATGACCTCCTGCGTTGTGTCCGCGGTTTCCCAAATTCGAGACCCTGGCTTAACGGCACCAGTGAAACCAATCTTGGTTTTGTTGTTTATTTGTTTATGGGTTCTGTATTATTAATTGCTGAAGTGCTATTACTTTTTTGTGGAGTTGTCCTTCAGTTCAGCTGTTGGTGTTTATTATTTATAATGTTCAGTGTTCATCAAACCAAACTCCATTACATCAAGTGTAACATAACAAGTCAGTTATTCAGTTCAATCCAAGTATATTGTATAAGAATATTTCCTCCTTTTTAAATCACTAAGTACAAGTTCATTCAATAGTCTGTTTCAGTTACTTGGCTTCAATCTCTATTCACAAAACCAACTCTTTTTACAGCACCAATACTTTGTACAGAACCAACTACCAAAACCCTATCATCTGTACTTATATCATATTCTCGGCTGTGTTAAATATAGCCTCAGCCTTAAGCTTAGCCAATGAAGGCATTAGGGTTTGAAACCAAGTTAAAGGTGCAGACTTACATCAAAGTTACATATAAGATTATACAACATGCTACATACAATAACACAAGTAATATATCATAATCTAGCACCTTCAAAGGATAACAGTGTTTAGCAATAATTTTTCAAATTCTCAAACCGGAAGTCAGCGATCAACTTTCATGGTATATAGTTTTGGGGGGAGGGGGGGGGGGGGTCAGAGTCAAAACTAGATTTATTTAGTTTCCGATCCGACATCGAACTTTTGATGCCTCCCCTAAATGAGGTTCTTTATGGAGGTTCCAATCAAATCACTAATAACAGACACAATTGACAGTTTTTAAACTAAATCAAACAAGTTTGTCTTGCAAACACTTCAACCAGCACTAATCTAAACAATTCTGGCAAGTTTTTCTCTTGGGTGTCTAATGATAGTTCCTATAAATGAACAATTCCGTGCAACATGCTCCACTTTCACTCTATAACCAGGCTGTTTCATCACGGAATAGACTTTTACTGCCCATTTGTGTGCTAAATAAAATTCATAACCCTCCTGTTGAAACATTTGAAATACGTCATGACCAAAAGTGACAATACATTTTTTTTATTAAACAGGTTGTAGTGGCTATGACCCCCAAGAGGGAGTATTAGGTGCCACATAATGGTATTTACAATGAGTAGTGAAATATTATGAGAAGTGTAAGTGTACATTCAATGAAGTGGTCAAAATTTAGAATTAAGATTTAATGAATGAAAACGATTTTTAAGTTTTTTGCTTTTATTTCACCATCTATTTGTTTGACTAATTGACTTTAATGGAATTTGCAATGGCTGATAATTATTTTCCAATAAATATTTGGATTCTCTTAACTCAATGTGGTTACCCTGTTACTATGAGATCCGTTGGTTTAATATGAGACATCCTGTAATCAACTGATCAATTTATTTGATTGTATACATTCTCTTTCAAGATCTTTTGATATGACAGCATGTATCTGTTGTATTATTATTTCTTTTTGCAAGATTAACATTTTGTATAACTTCACTGCAGTATCAAATCACACATTGCAGGGTCTTTGTTACAAGCTAGCTAAAGAAAAGGGGCTTCAACATGCTCAGTTGCCTATAGGAGAATATCTACAAATGAAATCCTCAAGGACACTCACAATTAACCATGGTAAGATACTTTAATTGTCTCATATTATTTTGATAAATGTTTATTATTCTATTGTATAATACTATTGTCAGGGTTGCACAAATATTCTTTTCAACACACTTTTTTAACTGCATTCATAATTGAATTATTACTGTTAAGTGAATTATAGTGTAGACCATGCTCATTGTTTTCACTCAACTTTATATAACTTGAACGGTGGGGGAAAGGGGGCATTAGATATTGTTTCTTTTCACATTAGATCATGGTTTAAGGATATATGGGGTTTGTTTTTCTTGACTGGTATGCACTTAGAGTTTTTCTTGCTAAGGTCCATTACAACTTTTGGTCCTTTCCCTTTGGCACTTGAAATATATTATGAAATATGTTTTTTTAGTGTTTGAGATCATGGTCAACTACACTGACAGCAAGGATTGGAAAGAAGCTTTTTTAAAAGTTCTCCCAATGAGAAAAGGAGCAACAGCCAAGGTTGATGAAACCAAAGATAAAGACATTGATAACATTGAATCTACAAACTACAATGATGATACTCAGGATGATAAGACTAATATTAATCTTCAATCAAACATTGAGTAATAATGACTTTAATTTGAGCTAAATTAGTTCTTCACATTGAATATCATTAGTTGTCTAGTGATAAAAAGTCATACAAATAAAATTAAATAGAATATAAAAACAGATTTGATTTTGTGCATTATGGGATATAATAAGAATTCTAATATGATATATGACGTCACAATAGCTAGAACAATTAAGTTGTGTTTCTTGTGTTTATCAAATCGTAACAAAGACCTTGATATTATGCTTTGTATCAAATATTTGACCTCAAATTTTATTCTGGCCATTGCTCAATCACTACACAATTTCGGTCTTTTAACAATAAACAGAATAAAATTTTAGGTCATATATTAGCCATAAATCATGAAATCCCGGTCTTTATTCCTTAATGAGTAGATGTAAGTATTTTTTTATCATACTGTTGAATAGTAAGCTAGTATTTGTACTTCAGCTAAGGTTTTGAGAAAATTGAGTCAGGTAAATTTACAATTTTTCATTTAAGGGCTTATAGCTTTAATTCTTATTCTGAATAACCCTTGAAATATATAACACTAAATAATGTGTAATTTGCTCAACCAATAGACCTGGATATAAACCATTTCTATATTTATAAAAGCTTGCCTCTATAATTAACAAAGGTGCATATTTAGTTCAGAATTTGACATTCAACTTTTTCGAAGTGTGTACTATTTGATCAAAAATAAGGTTTATTTCAAAGAGAATTGATTTTTGAAGTGTTATTTAAGAATTATAACTATTGACCCTTAAATTCATTTGTTTTATTGTAGGAAAGATTGAGAAGAGCAATGTAATGATTAATAGTTAAATGGTGTAACTTATCAAGGGCCTTGTCAATATCGTGTACATATTGTTGTTTTGGAACATCGAATTCAAAACATTAACTTTATTTAACTCTAATCACAGCAGGTAAGTGATGCTTATATGATCATCTCGTGAGATGCCACACGGTTTCTCTTTGGGTTGAGAAATTTCAAATGATCGACAGGTGTCACATTTCGAAATATATTGTTTCACATTAGAGGACATGTTAGGCCTGTAGAGGTTTTCTCTAGCTCTTCTTAAAGTACTTTCCACACCAGTCTCATTGAGGCGGGGGTTCGAATCCCACCGCTGCCACCATTGTAAAATATAATCCAATAACCCTGAAGTGAATTATAAAAATAGGTAGTGTGAGCCAGAACAAAGGGAAATTGGACTAGCACATCATAAGAAATTACTAATGAGGTAAGTGATGAATCGGTGTCAGGAATATGATAGAATGATAGGTCTAGTGTAAAAAGGGTGAAGTTACAGGGTGAAATATAAACAAACCTACACAAATACAACACAGCAAGCTAAAAAGAGTAAGGGATTAGGTACTTTAATTATCACCACACCAAAAAAGTTCAATTATCGTTCAATATTACTGTCTTCAAATGTCTTCACTCCCTAATGGAATGCTATAGATCTCTATACCGTACTTAGATTAACTTACTCAAACGCCAATCCCCCTCTTCTGATCATAAATTATGTTCATCTGTATCCGGATTCTTGTGTGATCGTGAAGCAATCTTTGGTACCGTAGCGAGTGTGTTTATTGAATCTCGAGCTCAGCGGTGCGGGAATTGTTACATTGTATCTGCTAGACACTTGTTTATATAGCGACAGATGGACATACGCAATCTTGGAGACGACGTAGGTAAAGATATATGTAATGTTGCTAAAAATGGGATATTACCAGGGTTTTCTAGGGCTACTTAGGGTAGTAAAAAAGGCAGAAAGAGCAGCTTATTGGACAAGAATTATGAGGTATGGACTAAGAAATGATGTCACCTTGTAAAGTGACGCAAAGTTGAGTTTTCTAGGGCTACTTAGGGTAGTAAAAAAGGCAGAAAGAGCAGCTTATTGGACAAGAATTATGAGGTATGGACTAAGAAATGATGTCACCTTGTAAAGTGACGCAAAGTTGAGACTGCAAATTCAGTGTTTCACAATGATAAATAGTTTTTTTTATAAATATACTGGCTCTGATACGATGGTTCAGGCCTATGTCTTGAAATAAAATGATCATGTTAAAGGGACATGATATGGTTAAACACTGATTATTATAGATATTAAAGGGGCACACACTGATTAAATATGTTATAATAAATAGCTATATACAGGGTGGGTCGCTACAACTGTTAGTCTTTTTATATCTATCAGATATAAAGTTAACATAAATTCTCTATTTGCTTATTGATTCATATTTTATTCTACTTTTTACAATAGTTTTTATATTCCATGTCTTAATATCTTTCTTGTAACATGCTCTTTGTCAAAATCTAAATGTTAATTCTAATTAATTCATTGGAACATTTCTTTTTATAGTTTGCTGGTTTTCTTTTTGTTAATTAGTTAATAATATTAGCCGACTAAAAATTAGCCAACTAAATTAGCCGATGATGGCATCGTCGGTCTCAGAGAATAGAAAATTGGTGCCAAGTTTAGTGTGGCAAAATCATCCAGCTTTCTTTCCTGAGACCGAAGATTCCTCATAGGTATAATTGTTTATACAAATAGACAGTACATTTGTTACACAATCACCTCTGTGATTGTTATGATTTCACAGAGTTGATTGTATGTTTACAATATTTCTAGCTCAGTATAGCGAATGCGGTATTTTGGTATTCCTTGGGAAAAGAGAGTTTGGAATACGCTCAATTATGATTTGGCATAAATGTGTCTCAATTGGCATACAAACGTCGCATTCTGGCATAGTTGTTCATATCATAAGGAAAAGCAAGTTTGTTTATAAATGAGATACTTGTTCCTTGTCTCCAATAATAATGTTGTTTATATTAATCTGTGGCTAAGAGAAAGATAAGAATTAGACTATGTGTTATTACTCACACAACTACCCCCCTCTTAAAATATTAATGGTTGTCCTCAACCACAGAAATAAAATCATCATTATAACCACTTGATAGCAGCCGTTAATAGTGCTTAAATCACAGAAAACAATATTTCAAATGAATAATAATGTATTCATCGATAGGACGCGTGCGTTTAAAACGCTAAAACATTATCATGCACATCAAACAAGGTTAAGCAATTCGTCGATGTCCACATTGTCAATGTTCACATCACCAAGGTCTGCCCCTGGCCCTCTTAGCAACCTCTCTACATCGCTGGCGCATTTGCCTAATATGGGGCCAACACTCTCTGCCCTCAGGCCCCGAGTTTGGGGCTGGTTGTCCTCTTCATGTTGTTGCTCCTCCTGGGGATGCACAAAGGCTTGGAGCTTGGGCGTCGAGATCGATGCGGGATCGACCCCCAGCTCCTGGCCCGTGCCATCCCCCTCCTCTCTCTTCCTCTTCCTTGACGGCTCACCACTGACCTCTTCACCAGCGCCCAGATTAAGGTGCCTCCGCCGATGGAATGCGAGCTCCTCAACCTGGGTAGGGATAAACATCTTCGAACAATCTCCCACCCCACAGGCGACGGTGGCCAAATGCGCATTTGAACGATGTAGTTCCCAATCTTGCTTGGAAACAAATTGGGCCAAGCAGCGATATACCCGTTCTGGCACCCATCCCTTGGGCGGGGCAGCTGGCATCTGACAGACCTACAATAAAATAAAACTCTTACCCTCTTATCCTACTAGGAAGGTTTTTAGTATGCTTATATGAACCTCCCCTAGAATCTCAAGGTACTAGTTTTCTTTGATATTAGATTAACACAATATATATATACTTGACAATATTGAACTAGAATGAACATCTTTTCATTCTCCTTTCAATCTATCCAAGTCTTTTCAGTACAAAGTTAATCTTTAAACAAAAGGGTAAAAGAAAGTTTTTATAAAAAAAACACATTTATAATATTACTTTAGATTTTCCATTTTGTACCCAGATATATGAGTCAATCCCCTTTCGATCACAGCCACGTGATTACATGCAATCAAAAATAAATTTATAATGTTTTTAAATGAATATATAGTTAATTGAAAATTATGAAATTGAAAAAAATTCAGTTTAGTACTCCTGATTGAAAACTTGCAGAAGATAGTAGTGTGCTTAGCTCTGCAGTGTTGTACTGCTTTATTTGGAAACGAGCTTCAAAAGCCTTCCTTAAGTCGGTCCAGGCATAGCCACCAGCCATGTTCTTGCTCCATCCTTGAGGTATAATTTTAGAATAAATGATGTTAAATCTTCAAACCATCGTACACCATCAGACACACCATCAAGTTTTTCTAACTTAATATGAGCTTTTGCCACGATTGTTTGTCTCTGATGATTAGAATGTAGATTAGAATTTGATTCCATTCATTGATGAGGTACCAAATGATCATCTTCAGTTCCACCATATATGAGACTATGATTTTATGTTCAGATCTAACTAGATCTGTTAAGTTGGTATACGATATTTATTCACATCTCGCCAATTCCCTTTCCAAAGCTCAAACTAAAAAACTTCTATTCATCATCTACCCCACACATAATTGAGGATAAGGAAGCAGATATCTGAACAATAACTTATTTTTAACACAAGACAAAATCGTATGAAATAACTTGCGATAAGCTAGTCATTAATCTTGTTATTATGGTCTTACTAGTGGTTATTATTGAGTAATGGTACAGGTATTCGATATGGTATTGCAGCTTACACTTAAGTAATGGTACACGTATCATTGGATTTTAGGCCCGAATACCGAGGTTTATTATTTTAATTATCGTGTATTATTATTTTGTGTTAATATTAGTTAACCATCTAACTATTGGCATGATATGATAACCTTGTTATATTGATATAGCGCATAGTATAAATGTAAAAACAACTCAAACTGTGTGTAATAAAATATCATATAAAATTCCTAACAAAAAGGTATTTTGTCTGTCTGTAACACTCTTCCCTTGTTTCACAGAAGAATAGCATAACTTAAAAAATGAAATACCAGACAGACAAATAAAGTACAATCAATATTTCTCCAAATTTAAATGTAATATTTCTAAACAATATTCAATTTCAATAGACAATTTCAATTATGATATACATTATTCTATAATATACCTTATTCTATAACTTCTTATTCCACAGAACCAGATAAATATATCTAAACACTGTCTTAATACAATTCAAGTTCAATTCAAGTTCAAAGCAATACAATGGTTTTTTAATTAAATTACTTAATCATGACAGGTAAACCAAACTTCATTCAAACTCCCACAACAACATACCCACATACATACCCACATATATACATACACACGCATACATACATCCATACATACATGCATAGCTATACAAATACATTTTTATCATATCCACATATTTTTGATTCAAGAGTTCAATATTCAATATATCTTTAAATAAAGTATTTAACGTACATCAACTCTATAGATTATTTTAAACTTTATTCATTAAACGTTCATTAATTAAAGTCCATAATTAACCGAAGTTAATTATATAATACAGGTGCAGCGTCCAAGTCACTTATTGTCTTACGAATCCTTCATTATAATATCAATTTTATCTTCATATAATCAAATGTTTGTAGAATGTTCGTAGTTTGTGAAAGGTCATAATTTGTTTGTAGGATGTTTGTAGAGATCACTGTAAAATGTTTGTATGATGTCACTGTAGAATTCTCCATTTAAAAAGTCTCTATGGTTGCAGCTTGTCACCAAGAATCGGGAAGATCACTGTGCCAGTTAACTTCCTTTTAAGATTCCTGTGACCTAACGGACCGTTCTCACCCCCAGACAGTCACTGTGCCAGTTAACTTCTATTTACTCTCTCGTAACCAATTAGACCATAACATCCAGGAAGTTACTGTACCAGTTAACTTCTGTTACACTCTCTCGTAACCAATCGGACCATAATACCCCTCCCCACAACCATTAAAATACAAAATAAATTTAAATTCAAATTTTGATTGTCCCTAAGTGAATTTATAGATGTCACTATTGAAAATGAAATGAAATTCTAAATTAACAACCCCCAGTGAATGAAATATAAATACAAAGTTTCAGAATATAGATGTCACTAGTGAAAATGAACATTCAACTGACACTTACAATTTCGAATTCTTCAGCCAACAAGGAAACGTGTAATTAAATATAAAGAGGTCACTGTCACTGAAATTTTTTAGATTCTTAAGTCCATCGTCTCAATTCTTAATTAACATAATATTGAATCTTTCTCTAAAAATTTTGAGTATACTAAATAATAGTGAGTATAATATTGAGTATATAAATGAGTATATGAGATTATATTGAGTAATAACTATAATGAACTCTTTAAGATTCTTCTAATTTATATACAATTCGCTGTATGTATCGCAGTATCTCTCTATTCACTCACCTTGAGTTTTCAGAATAACCCATAATAATCAACCCAGTTGTTTAAACATCTCCTCTCGTCTGAACTGTCACTCATAAAAAATGTTGCAACCGGGTATATACCAAACTCCACCCCCTTCCTTAACCAACCAATCACAAGTGCCACTAGAACTGGTCATTAACCAAAATTAGCAAAAGATTGCTCTCTCTCAGTAGACCCCAATGATGTTTTGTGATAACATCCTTTGTTTCGCAACGGCACCAAGTGTTACAGGCGTTGTCCCTGTGTAACAGGCGTTGTTACAGGAATATTATACTTCACACGACAAATCCAGTTGGTTATATTAATTTTATTATATGATACAAAGATCAGCAATAGTAGCACACCAGACAGCAATCCTACGGGCATACAGCAATCAACCAGACAACCAAAACGGACACACCCAAACTCTTACAATCTCTTTTATACTATCCAACCACACTACCATATATTACTACTCTCCAAAATATAGTTCCTGCCAAATGAGCATTTTCTTTGTTTTTACCAAGATATTTCCTGGAACTTATCTCAAGGACTCTGGAAATACAGGACTACTTTTGGCATCAGATATGAAACTTCCTTGTTTCAAACACCTTGTCCTTAAAACAAGTTCCAGATAAGTTCCAAAAATACTGGCAGGATCCAATTAACCAACATCAACAACATATGTATCACTCAAATGAAAGTATAAATGTAAAAACAACTCAAACTGTGTGTAATAAAATATCATATAAAATTCCTAACAAAAAGGTATTTTGTCTGTCTGTAACACTCTTCCCTTGTTTCACAGAAGAATAGCATAACTTAAAAAATGAAATACCAGACAGACAAATAAAGTACAATCAATATTTCTCCAAATTTAAATGTAATATTTCTAAACAATATTCAATTTCAATAGACAATTTCAATTATGATATACATTATTCTATAATATACCTTATTCTATAACTTCTTATTCCACAGAACCAGATAAACATATCTAAACACTGTCTTAATACAATTCAAGTTCAATTCAAGTTCAAATCAATACAATGGTTTTTTAATTAAATTACTTAATCATGACAGGTAAACCAAACTTCATTCAAACTCCCACAACAACATACCCACATACATACACACACACACATACATACATCCATACATACATGCATAGCTATACAAATACATTTTTATCATATCCACATATTTTTGATTCAAGAGTTCAATATTCAATATATCTTTAAATAAAGTATTTAACGTACATCAACTCTATAGCTTATTTTAAACTTGATTCATTAAACGTTCATTAATTAAAGTCCATAATTAACCGAAGTTAATTATATAATACAGATGCAGCGTCCAAGTCACTTATTGTCTGACGAATCCTTCATTATAATATCAATTTTATCTTCATATAATCAAATGTTTGTAGAATGTTCGTAGTTTGTGAAAGGTCATAATTTGTTTGTAGGATGTTTGTAGAGATCACTGTAAAATGTTTGTATGATGTCACTGTAGAATTCTCCATTTAAAAAGTCTCTATGGTTGCAGCTTGTCACCAAGAATCGGGAAGATCACTGTGCCAGTTAACTTCCTTTTAAGATTCCTGTGACCTAACGGACCGTTCTCACCCCCAGACAGTCACTGTGCCAGTTAACTTCTATTTACTCTCTCGTAACCAATCGGACCATAATACCCCTCCCCACAACCATTAAAATACAAAATAAATTTGAATTCAAATTTTGATTGTCCCTAAGTGAATTTATAGATGTCACTATTGAAAATGAAATGAAATTCTAAATTAACAACCCCAGTGAATGAAATATAAATACAAAGTTTCAGAATATAGATGTCACTAGTGAAAATGAACATTCAACTGACACTTACAATTTTGAATTCTTCAGCCAACAAGGAAACGTGTAATTAAATATAAAGAGGTCACTGTCACTGAAATTTTTTATTTAGATTCTTAAGTCCATCATCTCAATTCTTAATTAACATAATATTGAATCTTTCTCTAAAAATTTTGAGTATACTAAATAATAGTGAGTATATAGGTGAGCATAATATTGAGTATATGAAATAATATTGAGTATATAAATGAGATTATATTGAGTAATAACTATAATGAACTCTTTAAGATTCTTCTAATTTATATACAATTCGCTGTATGTATCGCAGTATCTCTCTATTCACTCACCTTGAGTTTTCAGAATAACCCATAATAATCAACCCAGTTGTTTAAACATCTCCTCTCGTCTGAACTGTCACTCATAAAAAAAGTTGCAACGGTGTATATACCAAACGCCACCCCCTTCCTTAACCAACCAATCACAAGCGCCACTAGAACTGGTCATTAACCAAAATTAGCAAAAGATTGCTCTCTCTCAGTAGAACCCAACGATGTTTTGTGATAACCTCCTTTGTTTCGCAACGGCACCAAGTGTTACAGGCATTGTCCCTGTGTAACAGGCGTTGTTACAGGAATATTATACTTCACACGACAAATCCAGTTGGTTATATTAACTTTATTATATGATACAAAGATCAGCAATAGTAGCACACCAGACAGCAATCCTACGGGCATACAGCAATCAACCAGACAACCAAAACGGACACATACCCCTCCCCACAACCATTAAAATACAAAATAAATTTGAATTCAAATTTTGATTGTCCCTAAGTGAATTTATAGATGTCACTATTGAAAATGAAATGAAATTCTAAATTAACAACCCCCAGTGAATGAAATATAAATACAAAGTTTCAGAATATAGATGTCGCTAGTGAAAATGAACATTCAACTGACACTTACAATTTTGAATTCTTCAGCCAACAAGGAAACGTGTAATTAAATATAAAGAGGTCACTGTCACTGAAATTTTTTAGATTCTTAAGTCCATCGTCTCAATTCTTAATTTACATAATATTGAATCTTTCTCTAAAAATTTTGAGTATACTAAATAATAGTGAGTATATAGGTGAGTATAATATTGAGTATATGAAATAATATTGAGTATATAAATGAGTATATGAGATTATATTGAGTAATAACTATAATGAACTCTTTAAGATTCTCCTAATTTATATACAATTCGCTGTATGTATCGCAGTATCTCTCTATTCACTCACCTTGAGTTTTCAGAATAACCCATAATAATCAACCCAGTTGTTTAAACATCTCCTCTCGTCTGAACTGTCACTCATGAAAAATGTTGCAACCGGGTATATACCAAACTCCACCCCCTTCCTTAACCAACCAACCACAAGCGCCACTAGAACTGGTCATTAACCAAAATTAGCAAAAGATTGCTTTCTCTCAGTAGACCCCAACGATGTTTTGTGATAACCTCCTTTGTTTCGCAACGGCACCAAGTATTACAGGCGTTGTCCCTGTGTAACAGGTGTTGTTACAGGAATATTATACTTCACACAACAAATCCAGTTGGTTATATTAACTTTATTATATGATACAAAGATCAGCAATAGTAGCACACCAGACAGCAATCCTACGGGCATACAGCAATCAACCAGACAACCAAAACGGACACACCCAAACTCTTACAATCTTTTTTATACTATCCAACCACACTACCATATATTACTACTCTCCAAAATATAGTTCCTGCCAAATGAGCATTTTCTTTCTTTTTACCAAGATATTTCCTGGAACTTATCTCAAGGACTCTGGAAATACAGGACTACTTTTGGCATCAGATATGAAACTTCCTTGTTCCAAACACCTTGTCCTTAAAACAAGTTCCAGATAAGTTCCAAAATACTGGCAGGATCCAATTAACCAACATCAACAACATATGTATCACTCAAATGAAAGTATAAATGTAAAAACAACTCAAACTGTGTGTAATAAAATATCATATAAAATTCCTAACAAAAAGGTATTTTGTCTGTCTGTAACAGCTATTATGCTTGATGATTTTGCATTTTTTCTCTTCAGATCGTTTTCTGTCACTTTCATTGATGAGATCAAGTGCAAAGTCTCCAGAGAATACATTTTCCATGGTCCTGCCAAATATTTAGGAATATAAATAAAATGCATTGAAAAACATAACACTCAATCCTTCTTTCTTGAGACACACTGGACAATATTTTCCATGATTGTCTGATCCCATCCAACATCCATTACTTAATTGTCATGTTTTATAACCAGTTTTGAAAGTCATCATCATCAGATCTGGTAGTCTTTCTTTATTCATATAGGGTCACTCCCAAATATGACATCATTTTGGATTCAGATTTATTGGTTTTCTTGGCATCTTAAGCATTATGGCATAACCAACTTATATCCAGACAAATAAGATCTGTGATCATCGAGTTTCTTTTGTTAATTGCTCACTTTTTCATTTGTAAGACGAAGATCGATAGCTTTTAATGATACAAGCTTGAGAACAGTCCTGTCTATCTCCCCAAGTACTAGCCTAGATAGTGTCAACATATTTCTTTTTTTGTTTCCTTTTATTTTATGAAATACAATTATGAAATTGCGAAGCCAAAAACAACATTGATCTATCAATCTAAAAATTAACTTTAGACAGAAGTTTCCACATGCTCGAATATATGGTAGGATTCAATCCAATGACATAATCGACATAACAAGGTTGCTAATAGATTTTCTGATAAGCAATCTTTGGAGGGAAAATTTTGTAAGTTTTTTCATAACTATGGAGGATTGAATCCAATGACGTCATTGACGTCACAAGGTTGCTAATAGTTTCTGTGTCAAGTGTTCTTTGGTTGGAAAATTCTGCAAGTTTGAATATAATGGCTATCAAAGGTTTTGCCTTTGATCCAAGTGGCGATGATATCCTTACACTGTTTCAGCTTGCACCAAAATGTATGATTTATAAACATCCTCGCTGAAAAGATAGTTCCCTTTTTTGGGAATATCTCGGTTTTGTCAGCTCTCCATAAATACCATTCTTTTTTTCTGAAATTAAACTTCACGTTTTGTCTTAAGTCAAACTGTCTGTCCACAACATTCAGTGACGGCATTGACAGCGATGCTGATGTAGTAGGGTAATTCATTTCATCTATAGTTCAGATACATACAAGGAGAAGTGCGAATTTTGAGCAAACAGACTGAAATTTGAAATTTTAACAAATGTAAAACAAATATCATATAAGAGTGAAATGTTATACATATCAATAAATTGCTTCAAATATACAGAAAAACTTTACTCATGTCTTTACAGTTTTTTTTTTTTATCTATGTCACCACCACCAAAAGTGGTGAAATTCCGATAATGTTGTCAACTTTTTGGACAGTGTTTAGCTGTTGGAGCCCTGTTCAGCATTGTTTTCACTGCCTTTCGTAACTGGCCTGTGGTGAATCCAGTGTAACCAGCTGTATAATTTTAGAATGTCTCTCCTATGACCATCTTCTATCTTATTTATCAAACTGAATGATGTTAAATCTTCTAACCATCGTACACCATCAGACACACCATCAAATTTTTCTAACTTAGTATGAGCTTTTGCCATGATTGTTTGTCTCTGATGATTAGAATGTAGATTATAATTTGATTCCATTCATTGATGAGGTACCCAATTATAATTTTCAGTTCCACCATATATGAGACTATGTTTTTATGTTCATATGAACTAACTATATGTGTTAAGTTGATATAGGATATTTATTCACATCTTGCCAGTTGTCTTCCCAAAGCTCAAACTAAAAAACTTCTATTCAACATCTTCCCCACACATTAATGTATGTGAGCTTCCATAAAAGGAACTCTGAATATATAATTGAGGATAAGGAAACGGATATCTGAACAACAACTT